GACTCATGACAAAGTCACTAATGGGTGCTGGTGGCATCACAATCAGAATAAGATCTTCCTGGAGCAGGAATCGAATCACACCAGACCACAAGAGATGTGTTCTTTGAGCATTCTTTACATCCTCGGCAGTAAATGGAGGGTCTGCAGTTACTATACTAACATGTTGCGATAAGGCATCTGCGACTACATTTGACTTTCAAGGTAAGTTCAAAGATTGGATTGAACTCTTGGATAGTCAAGGTCCATCTGGCTAACCTTCCAGTAGGTTGTTTGTTCTGGAATAAAGGTATCAGTGGAGCATGGTCTGTCAAGACATGAACAGAGTACTGATAAATAATGTCTCGGAAGTGCTTTAAAGACCATACTATTGCTAAAGCTTCTTGCTCAGTTACTGTATAATTACGTTCAGCCTTCGTAAGGACTCGGCTGGCAAATGCAACTGCGTTGTACTTGCCATCAGTCTTCTGAGCTAGTACGGCACCTATGCCAATTGAACTAGCATCAGTTGTCAGATAGAAGGGCTTAGAAAAATCTGGAAATTTCAAAATTGAAGCAGATGTTAGCTTTTCTTTTAAATTTTGGAATGCTCTTTCTTGATGGAAAGTCCAAACGAAAGGAGCATCTTTCTTAAGCAACTCAGAGGAGCAGCTATGTAAGAAAAATTGGCAATGAAAGATCTATAAAAACCTGCTAAGCCCACAAAGGATCTTACGGCATCAGCAGTTTTGGGAGTTGGAAAATTTATTACTGCAGTTACTTTACTTTGGGCAGTCGTAACCCCTCTAGGAGTGACTACGTGACCAAGAAACTTAATTTCTGATCTGAAAAATTAACATATAGACAGTTTGATCTTTAAATTGGCTTCTTCAAGCTTACCAAGTACTACATCAAGTCTTTTCAAATGTGTATCCACGTCTTCAGACATAACGATTACGTCATCTAAGTACACCATAAGTGCATTTCCTATGAGGCCTCTAAAGATATTAGTCATGTGCCTTGAGAATGTGATAGGGGAAGATTGTAACCCAAAGGCCATATGGAGGAAGTGATAATGACCTGTAGGAGTGGAGAATGCGGTTAGCTCTTGGCTATCCTTGTGAAGAGGGACTTGCCAAAACCCTTGTAACAAGTCCAGGGTCGAAAAGACGTTGTTATCTCCAATGTTAGGTAAAAGATCACCAAGTACAGGAAGTGGGAAGCGATCTAGAATAGTTTTCACATTTAACTTCCTAAAGTCAATCACTGGGCGCCAAGTACCATCCTTCTTAGGCACTAGGATCAAGGGCGCATTCCAGGGTGAATTGCTAGGTGCAATAACTCCATCATCAAGCATTGGTTGATAAATCTCTGCGACAGCACTTGGGAATGAGGCATTCTGTAACAGGTATATAGATAGGTCTAGTAACCAGGTTCAGTGGGATTTCGATGGATAATAAGTTCGTTATACCGATCTTCTCACCTGGTAAGGCAATGGCTTTACGACGTTTGTTCAACAGAGTCAACAAACACTTGACCTCGTCTGGGAAGTCAGTGGGAGCTAAATCTTTCTCCTCAACTGGTGGAATGGATTGATCCAGTGAAGTGGATGAGGTCTCCCCAGCAGAAATAGCACCGACCCACTGGTCAGGTGACAACTCATCCTCTACCTGAACAGTGTAAGGATAATGAACAAGGTCAGCAAGATTGATATTTGCTCTGAGATGAACACTGTGACCAGAAGTGTTAGCAAGGGATAAATGTATCTTACTATCTCTTACAACATGTAAGGATGGCTCAACTAATAAACCCATGACTTTGCAGGAATCACTGTCAACTAGGATGTTATCACTATCTGGAGCACTAGGAACAACAACAGACACTCTAATGAGGACACTTGCAGTGAAATGTCTTTCTGCAGATGGCAAATGACATCAACAAGAGATGGCATTACTAGTTTAAAGTAATCGTTTTCTGACAAGGTGTCCCCTGTGGAGAAACTGCTACTTGAACTAGCAGACATTGCAGGGATAGGCTGAGCACTCAAGGCAGTCTGAGCGTCCTTGGGCACCTGAGGGAACTGAACACTATCTTGCATGTCTGAAGGTGTAGGTGAAACACAGATGGGAGTGACAGAGTTACCAGTGCCTGACCGCTTGGGTATGCTACTGGAAAATGCACTGGCTTGTAAGGACTTAATCCGAATGTTGCACTCTGCGGCAGTATGGCAGATCTCGGATCCAAGCTGGTAACCCCAAAATGGTACAATCAAGTCATCAATATGGGCATGCCATCGGTAAGGGTCAAGCACAATATGGAAGTCTCTCATGGAAGCAAATCCCAGTAGAAGGTCACCAGGGAAAGTAATCTCTACCTTGGATAGAAAGGTGAGAGAAGTCTGACCTCGGACATGCAGGAGGGAACCCGCTACTCCACTAGGGAGGTTACAGTAGTTGGTTCTATGAGGAGGACACGTCATAACTGCTTATCCTTAAACAAACTAGACCTGATAATATTGACTTGTGCACCAGAGTCCATGAACGCATGAACAGGCGCATTATGAACAGATGCTTGCACTATGGGGCCTATCGTTGCATTGGAAGTTATGTGCAAACAACAAGGAGGGTTGTCATAAGAAAAGGTATGTTCTACTTCATCCCCAAAATCGTCTACATCAGAGACGATTGAAGCAACATCATTTACAGGATCGGTAGTCTCAAGGCTACCGATGAGCACAACAGGGGTGGAAAGCTGGCTAGCAGGCAAGGCTGGTATTTAAGACAGGCTGGATGGTGTAGGGCTTGACTCCCCCCCACAGACTGGCTTGGCAGCTTGGCTTAATTTGCAAACCCGGGTCAACCCCTCGGAAGTAATGCAAATATGCAAATAAAACTCTAAGACACAAGGAGTGACCAGTAAGCAGGAAGCAAACAGGCTGGTGGATGCTTGCTCAGGGTAGCTGGCTGCTAGGCTAAGCCGCCATGTGGTCACACACAAGGTCCGTCGGCTGATAGAAGTTAGTCGGCTGATAGAAGTTAATCTCCGTACATCTGCGTAAATATCAAATTTACGTGCTCACCGCTGGCACCATTTGAGAGGGTTCGTGGAGATATTATGGTTGGAGTTAAACACACTTGTGGATGGTAACATTTATATTAGCAGAGTGTGAAGAGGGGAGCCCAGCCTAGCCCGTCCTGTTGCCTGTAGGTCTACTCTTGAAGTGAGGGAGGGACAGTGCATCTCACGCACTCATGCGGCATCACGTGATGTCACACATGCTAGTCACTAAGCCTAGCTGAGTAGGGAGCCTAAATATATACATGGATGACACGATCTACAATATACTACACAAGTATACGTATAGGGAATTCAGTTGCTATACTGATACTATCTCACTCTCCCCAGATCGTATCTCACTCTCCAAAGATTCTGTCTCACTCTCCCCAGATCCTGTCTCACTCTCCCCAGATCCTGTCTCACTCTCCCCAGATCCTGTCTCACTCTCCCCAGATCCTGTCTCACTCTCTCCAGATCCTATCTCACTCTCCCCAGATCCTATCTCACTCTCCCCAGATCTTATCTCACTCTCCCCAGATCCTGTCTCACTCTCCCCAGATCCTGTCTCACTCTCTCCAGATCCTATCTCACTCTCTCCAGATCCTGTCTGACTCTCCCCAGGTCCTATTTCACTCTCCCCAGGTCCTCTCTGAGTCTCACCAGGTCCTGTCTGACTCTCCCCAGGTCCTGTCTCAGTCTCCCCAGATCCTCTCTCACTCTCCCCAGATCCTATTTCACTCTCCCCAGATCGTATCTCACTCTCCGAAAATCCTGTCTCACTCTCCCCAGATCCTATCTCACTCTCTCCAGATCCTGTCTGACTCTCCCCAGGTCCTATTTCACTCTCCCCAGGTCCTCTCTGAGTCTCACCAGGTCCTGTCTGACTCTCCCCAGGTCCTGTCTCACTCTCCCCAGATCCTATCTCACTCTCTCCAGATCCTGTCTCACTCTCCCCAGGTCCTATTTCACTCTCCCCAGGTCCTGTCTGAGTCTCACCAGGTCCTGTCTGACTCTCCCCAGGTCCTGTCTGACTCTCCCCAGGTCCTGTTTCACTCTCCCCAGGTCCTGTCTCACTCTCCCCAGGTCCTGTCTCTCTCCCCAGGTCCTGTCTTACTCTCCCCAGGTCCTGTCTGGCTGTCCCCAGATGCTATGTTACTGCTCCCAGTCGCAGTTCTGTTAATGATTCAGAATCACTTGTGAAGGCCGGTACTTAAACGGAATTAGATTGAATTATTCTCTGAGTTCACCACGGCCATGTATGTTCCCGCATCAGGGAAACACGTCCAGTCCTACTGAGTGCCTGGTGTTTGAGAATTGATGGCCCAGTAGTTAGAGCGATGCGTACGTTGTACTGTTCTTGTGGAGCTGGACATGGTGACGCAGGATCGAATCACGGCTAGCGCCGCAGTTCTGTTAATGATATATATATATATATATATATAATATATATATATATATATATATATATATATATATATATATATATATATATATATATATATATATATATATGTCGTGCCGAATAGGTAAAACTTGAGATTTTGGCTCAAATAGCAACGCTCTTCTTGCCGAATAAGGCAAACGAAAATTTGTGTATTAACAAATGAAAAAATGTATCTTTAAACATATAAGAGAAAATTTTATAAAGGATTTAATTTTAAATGATTCTTGCTAATTGACCAGTTTTACCTATTTAGCACGACATTGTGTGTGTGTGTGTGTGTGTGTGTGTGTGTGTGTGTACTCACGTATTTGTGGTTGCAATTGTTGAGTCACAGCTCCTGGCCCCACCTCTTCACTAGTGGCTATTTCTGGCCCCATGTGTGTGTGAGAGAGAAAGAGAGAGAGAGAGAGAGAGAGAGAGAGAGAGAGAGAGAGAGAGAGAGAGAGAGAGAGAGAGAGAGATTAACCTTAAAAATCTGTTGTTAATATTAATGATAGTTGAGTATTAATACTTGTGTAAGGTCATGACTAAGATCAACTTACCACTGACAGAAGTGCTGTCTGGTCTGGACAACGAGACACTAGTGCAAGTGTCACAGCTGGTCAGGTCGGTGGGTCAACAGTGTTCCATAGACTTCCTGGAGGCCACCCACGACCACCCCATCACCTGGAGCCTCTGGAACTCTTTCTTCTTCACCTTCACTGTCATCACTACCATCGGTAAGTCACTCTGGCCTAGCACACGGTGCTCACAGCTTCTCCCACACGGTAAAACTCTCTCCTGGGAATATTTGTAACCGTGTACATATTGCTCGGCCTTTTTCACATGAGTCGTAATTTTGAGAATCATCGGGACCTCGGGATGGTTACATATTCATTTTTGCGTTAATAATAAATTTCAAAAATGGACAAATCATTTAAATTTGGTCATGGCTTCTGGTCTGGGCTCATCAACATATATAACAATTATTTTAATATACTACACATTAGTAAATATTAATTTTATTATGGACTATTCTTTTTAGTCACCTAAAATAGAGGAATATGGTAAATAATATTTAAACAGAGATCACCCCAGGATGCAACTAGGACGAAAATTCACACACACTTGAGCTATTAAATTTTTGCAACAAATTCACCTTAAACCAGCAAATAAGAACCAATAAGACTGGAAAATACACTTGACTTTATGTTCACTAATAACGATGATCTAGTACAAATGTAACAGTGTCAAAGATAATACACTCAGATGACAACATAACAGAGGCACAGACATGTATGTACACGACTCCTGAACACCATAATGTGACCACTTATCACAAACCTTCACCAAATTCAACTTCAATAACAAAAACGTTAAGTTAGATCAGATCAACTATGTTCTAAATGAAACAACAAGAAGAAGAAGAACAACAAGAACTCTGACTACTTCACACTAAATGCTGGAGTACCCCAGGGATCTGTCCTCTCCCCTACCCTCTACATTTTATACACTAACGACATTCCAACACCTGTATACCACAACTCCATCACACTAGCCTATGCAGACGACATTACACAACTTATCACCCATGCCAATATAGATACACTCACACACAAAACACAAAACGAGGTCGACAGGATAGCCATCTGGGAACAAAAATGGAGGATCAAAACCAATGCAGCAAAATCCAGCATTACATATTTTAACTACAGGAAACGTGATCCTCCATTACCTGTCGAGCTCAAAACATGTAAAGTAAAAGGACACAAGTGCAACTAATGTGACATTTTATTGTGGCAACGTTTCGCTCTCCAGGAGCTTTATCAAGCCATTACGGTAATGGCTTGATAAAGCTCCTGGAGAGCGAAACGTTGCCACAATAAAATGTCACATTAGTTGCACTTGTGTCCTTTTACTTTACATGTTGTCGGTAATTCTACCAACTTTATTACGAGCTCAAAACAGCTGACACCCGCACTTACATCCCCATCACACAATCTATCACTTGAGACACAACATGACTACTGGACCTCTCTCCTTGACGAAGACATTCGCAGACCCACAAACCATCACAACCTTTTCTACTCCTTGTATGATTCTGCTCCTAACCCTATTTACAAATAACCTTGGATTCTCTGACAGATACCTTGAGCTGCTCATTCTCTGACCCACGTTCGCCTTAGCTTTTGATTTAAGACATGGTTCAGTTCTACACTCCTCTCTAGCGTTAATCATCGCCTCTTCCGTCCTTCCCGCTCACCCCACCGGAGTCCCGACAGAAGAGCCTGAATTTCTGTTCTCAATGTCTGTCCCACGATCGCCTTCGCTGCTGGGTTAAGCCCTGGCTCTATTTCTACGACTAAGAACACTCCTCTCCAGCACTATTCTTCATCTGTCCCGTCTTCCCAGCTCATCCCATTTGGGATCTTACCTGAAATTGTTCGTTCGTTCGTTCGTTCCTCGTTAGTGTGACTTTGTAAATGGCGTAAGTGGGACCGTAACGTCGTCCTAAGTGACTTAAGAAATCGTAATGACACGTGTCATTACGATTTCTTAAGTCATGTTGACGGCAGTGAAGGGACTTGAGCTAGAGTTCGTCACGGCCACGCTAGCTGGAGATTCGTCTGTAAAAACTTGCATTTGTGGTCACAGAGGTGCCTGTGCTAACCTTCCTATGGTGTAGAAATATACCTAGTTGGATGAATCTTATTGTGGCTAGCTGGTCTAGTGGCTAACGCGACGGGCTGGAGTTTTGAGACTCTCTGACCGCGGGTTCAATCCCGGCCGGGGGTATGGTTTATGGTCGTCCTAAGCTCCTCTCTTCTCTGTGCGGGTTATCTATGTATACTCTCATACATTCCCCTTTTTGCTTCCATGAATAATTTATATTATTTAATAAAATAACAGAAAAAGACGTAATACTAAAAATTACAACTAACATAATCATTTATTAAAGATAATTAACTAATTACGTAGTTATTTAAAATATAATTTATTACCAGTTTTAATATACTCAAATTTAATACTATTTCAGCTGGCAACAAAAAATAATTTGTTGCCAAAGATGTTTGAAGTCATTTTGGTTTTGGTAAATCCGAAAATGTCAACAGGATTTTCAAATTGGCTCTAGTTTGAGATATTACACATCTAGCCTCAGTTAAGAGGCATCTTAGCCACTTATGCAACACATGGGAATCTTTATTGAAGAAACGTTTCGCCACACAGTGGCTTCATCAGTCCAATACAAAGTAGAAATGGGTAAGGAGAGTAGAAGTTTGAGGTAATCAGTCCCTCAACCTGGAATCGATGTGTTCAGTCCATCACTCTTGTAGGAAGTGCAGCATAGGTGTATGTATAATGTTCGCCAAGACCGTAGTCCTGGCACGGGTCTCAATCTTGCGATGACCCGTCTCTGGCTCCCGAGAGAGAAAGGTTTCTACAATGATGCGACATATGCTGTTCAAGCACTCTTCTGGTCAGTTCAACTGGTGCATCTCATAAGCGACAACACCGTATGTACTCCTAACTGTGGACACTAGCGAGGAGGAGGATATGTCGTTATCACAGGTAACAGCTTTTCTGGTTCGTTGACTCCATGGTACACTAGTGTGGCCGCAGTCATCTCTGGTTCCTCTTCGGGAGGGAATATCACTCCTAGTTGCCTGCGGAGTGTCTCAGTAACTTCGCACTCCAGAAGATAGTGTGTTAGGGGCCGCTGGACAACGTGCTGACAGTACTGGCACATCTCCTCCTCAGCCTTGTCTACCATCATCTTGGCTGTGGGAAAGCCCAAACGAAGCCGATGGATGGCGGTACACTGCGCTCTGGACCAGCTTCTATCATATGGAGGGGGTTCCCCCTGAGTCGCTGCTCGGTACCACTGTTGAGATGGGGTATCACCTAAGACCTCCCCCATAAGTTTCATGGCTCTGGCAGCCACCAGTTTGGTCTGTCGTAGGCTGATTGGGACAGTAATCCCAACATGTGGTTAGTCTGTTGCTGCCTTGGCTGCATCATCTGCCGCCTCATTTCCCGGATGCCAGCATGGCTGGGGATCCAGTTCAATGTCGATCTGTTACCTGAACTTCTAAGGCTGTCATTATGCTCAGGATCGATGTGATGAGGTGAACATTGTCCTGTGGTTGAGGATGGGACAGGGCATTGATTGCAGACGTGGAATCAACATGTATGACAGGTCGGAGTCGATGTCGTAGGGCATGTGACAATGCCTGCTGAATCGCCACCAGCTCAGCTTGAAGGATCGTGCAGTGGTCAGGGAGTCGCCAGCCTTGTGTGTGACCATTGTGGTACAGTCCAGCTGCTGCTCTCTTCCTGTCAGGGTCGACAGAACCATCTGTGAAATACACTGCACATGTGCCTCCCTCTGCCAGCATGATTGCTGAGAGTGTCTTGACTGCAGAGACGCTTAGAGATGGGTAGCTGCATGATGCAAACATCGGCTGGATCTGGGCGCCAGGGAGGTGTTGGATGGTACCCAGCAACAGGAAGGTCACAACTCTTCTCAAGGAGTAGTTGTATAGGCAGCAGCTTCCGCCCAGCAGCACAAAACGAACGAATCCAGGAGTAGTCCGTGAAGAGTGTGGGATCTTGTGCCATGGTTGTCAATATCCGTCTCCTTAGTGGGGTACCTTGCTGCCTGTGCAGAATCGTGGCCACTTTGCAGGCGTTTATGTATCTTACTCTGTCAGCCAGGGAAGGAAGCCGGGCCTCAGATCTGAGACATACTGTGTTGGTCCAGATGGGGGCCCCAAGCATAGTTCTTATCGCCTGTTTTTTGTACGACCTCCACCCTTTGCCTGCTCTGCGGGAAGAGATGAGCTAACGCCGGTGCACCGCAGTCAATGTATATAGTACAAGCTTGTATATAGTACAAGCGAAGTACATCTTTGCTTGCCCTGCACGGTGCCTCGTCATGGCTCTCATGGCTTTTGAGTCTGAGTAGAGCACGTGACCTGACATACTCGGCCTGTTTCTGAAAGGTCAGCTTTTTATCAATGTAGATTCCCAAGTACAGGTAGGAGCCTGTCCACTCAAGTTCTATATCCTGATACGTAATCTATTCACAGGATCTGGTCCCTTGAACATCATTGCAAGAGATTTCTCGGCCGAGATCTTGAGGCCTAGTTCCTTGCAAGACTGCGTAATTAGGTCCAAAGCTCTCTGAGCCTGTCGTTCTAAATTGCCTTTCCCATTCACTACGACTGCAAGATCATCAGCATAGCTGAGGAGCTGTGTACCACTATGAAAGGGAAGGCTCACAAGTTCCTGCATAAGGATGTTAAACAGGGTGGGACTGAGCACACCTCCTTGTGGCGTACCGTTTTTCAGGGATTTAAAGGAAGAGTAGTGTCCCTGAAAGCTGACACAGGCCTGCCTGCCCCTAAGGTAGGACTCTATCCAGGCCATGAGGCGTCCTTTGATTCCCTTCCGAGCTAGTATTTGCCAGAATTGCTGTGGGGCTGGCTAGCTCAAATGCCTTTTCAAGGTCGAGGTAGACGACAATACTAGGTTTTTTGTTACTGTCAGCAATCTGGCTTAGTAGAGTGGTTATGCACTCTGCTGTACCCACTCCTTTGGTGAAGCCAAATATGTGATGATGAGAGGGTCCAAGTTTCCATAGGAGGCGGTTTAACACCATCCTCTCAGCAGTCTTGGCTAAGCAGCTGGTCAGCGATATGGGTCTCATACTGCCTGGGTCCTTGGGCTTTGGAAATTT